ATGCTCTCAAAGAGTATATGTTTTCAATTTCCACACTGGGTTCTACACAACATTTGTAAAAATTTATGTTTATTCTGTTCTATTTAGATTCTGTAAATATCCTGTCTTTTTTAATGCGTTTAGATTTCTTTTACAGATATGTTAGTCTTATTCTTTAAAGGCCATGGCTATGACCCTAGAAGAAGGCCCTATGACTTCGAGAAACAACGCTCTGTTTTGAAGGCTAAACTGATTATTTGTACAAGCAATACTGGTTAAAGATCTAAACCGAGCTTAATTAACATGCAAAAATAAACAGTTTTTTGTAAGACAAAGAAAGACATTTCGAGAGCTATTTTAACAGGTCAAAAATAGCAAGGGGCTCCGTATTAATTATATCGTTTACGCGCTTTTGGGCAGTCAATGTTGCCCCGCCACCATTATCTAGAGACAGACACAAATCATTGGCAGATGCTCATACTATTTGCATACTATATATATTCCTCCCATGGACTGTCAGAGCACTTTGTTCTATGACGACGCGTTCGTACATTATACATTGCCGCTACTAGTTAATAGCTGGCGTTCTGTAAATTAAAAGTTTTCTTGCATAATTTGGCACAAAAGAAGCGTCCGACCGGGAACTAGGACGACAGCCGTTTAATGAGCTTTTACCTGATGATTTGAAAAGATGTTCCGTCACTAAATTGCTCTGCTGGCGCCTAAGCTACTGCCGTGTATACTTATTTCCTGAAAGTATGTGCTCGTAGTGGCCCGAAACTTACCTAAAGGTGTTTCGTTGTCCTTTTTTATCCGGCCGCTAAAGGTGATTATCTGTCAGCGGCAGTCGAAATCAACAAAATGCTAACAGACTGTAGAAGTAAACATGCAGAACACATACGAAAATACAGATTTCAGCCTTGTCAGTATGTTTTCCAATACATTTCATTAATTATAGATGTAAAATATTACTAGTCTCTTCTCTGTTTCCTTATAGCCATTATAAGCCTAGCCAGACAAAGAGCCTTGTTAGGACTTTAGAAACCTCGTTCGGTAATCATTGCTTCTAATTTTTTCACCCGTTCTCGATCTTCTCTGACTCTGTCGTCATCGTTTGCTCATTCCAAAAGCCGTAAATTCTAGCTGGCAGTGAAACAGTTTAGTTACACGCGTCTGTAGACCGGTCATTGCTGATAGTTTCTGGAAGACCTAGTAAATATTGCATGAGAAAGGGATAAACCAACTGTAGAGCAGTTACCACCACTTTTGCTCTCGTTTATCTAGCTGGCTAGACATTTCATAGATAGAAGGATAAATTCAAGTAATTGCCATATCTCGATAGTTCCACTTATTATGTACATTTCCACTCAACGCAATTTCATTGTACGAAAGTATAGTGTTATTTTTTAAACTCTTACTGTATACATATGAGTACATTATAGATTTATTAATTTACAAAAATTGTGTAGAACTTATCATACCGTTGCCAACTTGAACGTTGAACTTATCATACCGTACCCAAGCTTTATATAAACGACTGTACTTTAATTCATTTTTTTCTAATGAACTTATCTCTAACAGGACTACCTTACACAAATTACATTGCATATTGGAAAGGTTGTACCTAGCCCTCAATGGAATAGAACTGGGAACAATCCTAGCTTTCGCGTATTAGGCCGACAAACACTAAAACAGTTATTGGGGATTACTACTTTTTCCGGCTTCTTGTTTGCTAGTGTGCCCACATTTTTCCATGATGAATTTTTACATGCGTATAAGAAATAAGCTTTGAGATGCAGCTTTGTAGCAAATGGCACGTTAATTGAAAACCCTATCGATAGAATAGCTATTGTATTGCATCGTATGATGATGATTCTATGTATTGTTTGTCTTCGTTACCCATTTTGCAGTGGACCGCAATGACACTGTAAATGGGCGCGTCGCTACGCGTGCTTGTAGGTACGGTTATCGCTTAGCTAAGTTGGTTGTCTGTTGCTTCGTACCGTCGTGCTGCTTTGCTCGAGTAGGAACAATTGGGTTCGTGGGCGTTGATACTTGTTCTGAGGGGAGTGGACAATATTGCCACTCGTTGGATGTATGACTCCGCCTTGTTATACGGCTAAGGACACACTGTGATAGTAATGACGTATTCAGTATTATGAGGTAGCCACTGCAGTTTCATTAGCGACCATCGGACGCTGCACTCATCGTAACGTTCTAATTGCTTGCTTACATGCAGACACGTTACTGGCAATATCGAGCTAATAATGGATCGAAGTGAAGGCTGAGAAAAATCAATACCTTTCTTGTACTAGCAAGTTGTACAATCATCAAAAATAAACAGTAGCTATCTTAGTAGTAGGTCCCTAAGTATAATATTTCTTGCCGAATGCACTAAACACAAAAAAAAAACAGGATGTTAATTAAGTTAGTAGTGTGTATATGTACACATATATATATATATATATATATATATATATATATATATATAAGATCTATAATATAAAAAGAAGAGTGGTGAAGTAACGTCCACGTTGAGAAGAGAGGGACTGCCTACACGTGAGATGTGAAGTTTGACAAAGTAAAAAAATTGCGCGCAGCATATTGCAAAGCAACAGGAAAAACAACATTTCATCATAGTTCATTAATGCCTTGCAGACGCTTCGGCTGACGTTGGACCCGTCTAAGCTCGACAGGGCTTCAGGACAACCTCACTCGCTCACAACGGCTTTATTCTGATACTCTCTATTCATCGTATCGTAGCGTTTTACTAAGGAGCGCAAAAAAAGCGTAAGGATAAAATGGCATGTGTCAGATCTTTTTTATCTGATCTAACGAATATCAATAGTTTATGGTAGTAACAATTGTTCGATAACTATGTAGACACTATATTAGTAACACGCCTGAAATAACAAATATAATAATAACATTTACTTATCGGCTATAAATTGCATGCATCACACTGTTGTATTACAGATATCCTCCTGTGTTAGAATTAGTCCGCCTTATCAGACTTCATTCAGGATAAGAACTAATATCGTAGAACAACATTGTTAAATATTCCAATCTTCATCTAGAACAAACACATTTAATATATCGCCAGGAATATCCCTAGCATCATTCTTCAGCGAAGGAGCATTTGATAATGAAGTGTGTGCTACGTTTGTTGTGGCTGTTACGTGATCTCGCTTTCCGTTTTTCGCGATTTATGTCATGTAACACAGAAACGGAACCGATTCTTTTTTTTCTCAGTATAGATTAGAAGCGTCTCTGCCTCGTCAGATTAGTTACATTTTGCTGGCGAAAGATACTGTAAGAAACAACTGTGTTTGTTAGACGTCATTACGTCAAACGGAATCGTGTGCCATACTTGAGTCGGCTACATGCGCCGTTGTGAGAGTTCGCGTCCACGGTACAGCCGAGACAACAGGTGTTCTCAGCTCTGAAAAACTTGATTTGCGATTACGCTTTTCATAGGAACGATACCTGCCAATTTTTCTGCGCCACTACTCGACTTCGCTTCCAACACAATGCGAGTACTAACTAAAATGCCTCGGAAAAACAGGACCTTAGAAAAAACATGCCGTTAACATAACTCTTTTGAATTTACAGCTGCTGGGCAAAAACTCCAGACGCTGCGGATCTATTGGCTCACTGTTTTTGGGACAGTCGTTAGCTTCTCAAAAAAAAGCTCCCGTTCGTAATTTCGATGATGGCTTGTCTTCATAGTGCTTATATTACAAGAGCTGTTATATAGAAATCCCACAATAAGTCTAGCAAGAGTTCCAAACGTGCCTATGAATATCTACGTATATGCAGGCCATCAACATTAAATTTACACACGAGTTATGGTACAGTCACACTGCCATGTATCTGACTGGCAGGGTGAGAGTATCTAGCGCTTTTTTTTGCGAAAATAATCTATCCAGCTTCTTCCGTTTGGATACGAATGAACACTTGCATTACTTCATGCTATAGAGTTCACTGTAGATGTGTAAATTAAATGCACAGGATCGCCTCATCCTGATTGTTGACACAATCTTATACTCAACCTCCCCGGAAACCTCTTTTTTTTTTCATGCTCTTATCAGAGTCCGACGCTGAAATCGCCTCTTAAAAAGTGTCTCTATGACAATGCTGTACATTGATGTAGTTTCATATTTAGATAGCAATAATCTGCGTTTACAAGGTCAAGTTGTCATCCAAATATCAGAGCTTATATAGGAACTAAATAAAGTATTAAAAAAGTATCCGAATTTTCGGCACTAACACCGTCCCTGCTTCTGAAGTCACCTTTATATAAATAAGCAGAACGATGTCTGGAGGAATATGTTTGAGTATCGAACGAATCAAATGGTCGTAATCGCTCGCTCGCTCGCTCGCTCGCTCGCTCAGTCGTTAATAGGACATCTTCAACAGAACAATGGTAAAAACCTTGTTGCAGTGTGGATCCCTAACAGTTCATAAACGTCAAACTTAGAACTGCTCATTTGGTACCTATCCACAGCCACATTTCCCTTAGCCCCATTGCCAAGACGAAATTCTAAGATAGGCAGGCCCGATTTGTTTGCTAGAAGCTGTTTACAGGTATAAATAAACTTATTTAAAGTTCTATACTGCTACGGGATGCCCGCCTCTTCTACCACAGGAAACAAACCACATTTTTAGGCAAAAAAAATTCTATAGAAGCAAATAACTGGTTCAATTATACTCTCGAACGTACATGGCACTTGTTAGACAAGTGTTACAGCAATCTTAACTTAGATAATCGCTTTTGCTTGTCTGATTACTTGGTCGGTTAACTTTCAGGACACAGTTTGAACCTAAAACTCGTCTACTGGTCTATTACTATATATATATATATACTATCTATATACTGTACGGGTGTTTACGACAAACAAAGGACACTCGATGATGCCGTTATAGTGTATGATAGAAATCCCTCTGCTTTGTTGTCTCTTTCTATAGATAAAGTTTTTGAGGCTGTTAATTTCACTACTCACATATCGATTTTATTAACCTGTGACCCTGTCGAACACAGAGACTTCACGCTAGATATATATTACATGTTAATTTCAGGCGATTCACAGAACAAAGCACCCGTTTAAATGTTATTCCGAATTATTAGTCTGACGGATGCACGGTATGCGTCATATACAGTCAATAGCATCGGTTAACTTAGATAGTTACTAACTTCTGTACAAACAAGACATACGCGTTCAATAGCGCTTGATTGAGCTGAACTACGCTCTCCGGTGGAAATCTGTACCCATGTATTCCCCGTCCGCAAACTCTTGCTTTAAATAAAGCTATCGCTTATTTCCTTTTCAGCATACCTAGCATTCGTTAAACTATGCGATAGATATTGTAATCGAAGACAGCCTACATACATAACTACGCCTTGTACAGGCGTATCTTATTCTCGACCTTGCACGAGTAGAAGTGCTTTCCGCAGGCCTCGTGCATCTGGAGTGCCGAAGGGTATCAACAAAGGCCCCCGCTATGCTTGACCTTTACCCACATCCGTGCATTCGGTAGCTAGGTAAGGCGATAACATTATTTGGATGAGTGTAGTTAGCAAACTTAAGTTACCCTAGCAGAACAAAATGGAAGAATCGTAATGCGACATTGAAGTAGGCGTTAAGATATGGCCATCTATCCTGAAGTACAAAAAAATATGCGACCATAGCTGTCATGACATGAGCAACACCTTAAGTAGAAACTAAATCCTCGTTAAAAAAAAGCATCCATGACAGAATAACCGGTCTAGTAATACCAATAACGTCCTCATCGCCTTCGAACAAATTTAGATTATTTTCTTTCAAAACGTTATAATTTTTTTTGGATCATTTAAAATTAAATTTTCAGTTTCGCCTAATTAAGCGTTTTCGATATCATTTCAAAAGAAGAGTTTCGAACAACGGCAAAAACCCTAGTAGAGACTGCTCTAGAGAGAGATATAGAATAATCAATGGGCAGTACGGATACCAGAGTGGTCGTTTGCAGTAGTGACCTTTAGCAACCTTGCCTAGGGACTGCGTATAATGGGATAATTTTTTTGCTGTCCACTGCAAAGTACATAGTTCTATATCATCCGTATGGGGGTGGAAAAAATAGAAACGAAGTAACCCTTATCGTTATGAGACCAGGATCTTAGCTCTAGGAGACCTTCATGGTTCACTATAGCAGACAGAGGTAATTCGCCCTTAAGCAGTAAGCAAAGTCACTGAACTTTCGTTGTTATCGAAAATGTTGCCCATAGGCACGATGCCTACTCAGCCACTGGGGGACTTTATTGATTCTGTTTTGTAGTTCACCTTTTCCGTGCTTATCTTTATTGGACAGTGTACATCCTCTGCATGGCCATAGCACCTGACTGTTCGGGCCTCATTTTAGTCAACAAGGGTTGGCGCTGTCAAGCAATAGAAAGCTGTGCGTCGATTTATCTTGAACGAATAGATAGTTTATATCACAGTACTGATATTTTACAATTTACCCGCATCATAAAAGATAATAGAAAAAGCAGGGTAACAGCATCAGGTAGCTGCGGAAATAATTCACAGTGAGAGCTTCACGCACTCGTTATACCATATAGATCTTTCTGTTGTCGACCAATATCTTAAGCAAACTATATGCTAACAAGTCTAGAAAACAGTTTACGGTACAATCATTGAGCTCGCTAACTGTATCAAATACAAAAACATCAATTTGTGTACTTACTCGCCCAAAATATATGCCTCACTGCTTCTATACTACGCTATAAAAAGTAAGCTTGACTTGTTTTTGACATACTCGCATGTCATATTCCTTCCAGCGTTAGTGGCAATAGTCGATCCGTTTCGAAGATGAAGAGTCTTAAATCTCGTTGTTCAAAGAAGACAGCGGAACTTGTGTTGTGATGATGGAGCTTCAGCAATTTTTGCAACAGTATTGAAGACCGGAACTGTCTCCATATACCTATATACAGGCATTCGAAATGGACCGCCAATATTGCGTTGATGACATGTATCTCCTTGAAACGTTCGTAGCATGCATGAAGCACGTGTGCTGCCCTAACACATACAACTAGAATCACAGTGTCGTATCACATGTACATAACAACAATCTGTCACACAAAATATGGTCGTCTCGTGCGTAGGTTCATCTAGCCAATTTACACCGTTACAGGTTTCAAAAATCATGTGGTCGACTCTAAAAGAATGAATATCTGTGTCCTCGTGCTGTTGGTGTGTGCGGGTGTACAACTTCTGCACTCGAAAAATTTTAGCCTGTGGCGTACATATAAGGTTCGAAGGGCGCGAAAAATACATTTACTTGTATACGAGCAAGAGTCAGAAATAATACCATACTTTACACAGTCAACTCGGTTCACGCATCTGTCGGATCGGCTTTGCATTTCATCGGCAATAGCAAATACGACAGCTGCCTATGGGCATTTAGTTGATTCGGCTCAATGTACAACAAAGCGTACGAACGAGCCTCTAGCTTTATGTTCCGTCGTACTGCCGTTTTACATATTACCACCCTTAATTGAGAATATTCCGAGAGAAACTCAAGATCAAGTAGTCTTGATATATGTAGCATTCATAATTAGCGCAGATCGGGTGCTGTTTCAAAGTGGTGTTGAATGCAGAATTGGGAGTATCTGTATTAGGGTGATATTCCCTAATATTGGATGAAACAAGCGTCCCTCATACTTGGTTGAGAACTCATAATTGGAGTATGCTACTATTGAATAAAACAGATTCGAGGAAAGCAACTGAATTACAATGACAGATGTCTAAAATGAGAATGTTTCTAGTTAGCTTACATCAAGTGAAGTCACTCTTCATGTCTTTCGGTTGGTTCTCATCAGTGAAGCTTAGCGTCCTATCGATCGGACGGTTTTCTGTTCTAATCTATAGTTGAAGCCAGTTGCCAGATATTCAAATTAATAGACACTATTTCTTGTCGACCTTAAAACGACCTTTATTAAAGCTACCGGAACTTTTGGTTTTCACGTGGTAAGATCAGAAGTTATTTATTATTCTATTAAATTTCGCTTTCGATTCTCAAGCTAGCAGAAATTTTAGAAAACCTGTTATACACAACTATTTATAGAAAGCCAGTCTGACAAAACTCGTCGAAGACCTACAGCGTAGTTGACCTGCACACTATTTCTTACTTTCTCAATCACTAATTCGGCATCCTTTCACAAAAGCGTGCAAAAATGTTTAAGATACTAGCCCCCTGTTACACGGCGCTGCTGAGGAGAGGGCTCTCAGGACACATGGATTTCATTCCTAGGACTTTTAAATTTCCAAGCATTAATATTACCGCATACGAGTAGTAAATGCATAGAACTGCACGAAGACATCCACCGCGTACTAAACAATACATATATGATCACATTAATCATGTACTTAATAGTACTTAATAGAAAAAACTACAGTATAATTATACATGAATAAATTCTGTAAAGGACAACACGTACGATCCAGATTCCGCTTACCAATCATATTTTGTGCTATATTTCATTGATGATGGCTTCTCGCCGAAAAAACATCGTTAATTCCAGAGCCTGCACGTCGCAAGGTCGCGTTGCGTTTAAAAACCAAACGGCCACTAGCTTAAGCATTTAATGAAACTATCATCACAGTATAGCATACATCTGTGAACGTTAATTAACTAAAGCTCGGTTCTTTCCTACGTCGCCGAACACTTGCAGGGTATGATCGGATTCATCTTCAGCGCGTGAACACGTTCGCAGCATATTTTCACACAAGCAGAACAAACTACTGTGTTTGTCGCGTACGGATCGCGTACGTTGAACCTTGATTTCAATCAGATCAGTTATACTATGATCCTCATCAAATCGAGCTAAGCTGTAGACCTAGAAATTCAGCTCCGTTTCGCCAAAGAAGCTTCTCACGAAGTTCGTCTGCGATTCGGGCTCTCTCAACTAAAGCCCCTGGCCGCTCAGTCTCACCTAAGGGGAACGGATAATCGCTACCGAAGCATACGCGGTCCTCTCCAATAACATCAATAAGAAACTTCAATGATCGCTCATCATGCACGAGTGCATCAGTATAAATGCGGCCGATATACGAACTAGGAGGATTTATATTGTCGACAGCACACAGGTCGGGTCGGCACTTGAAACCGTGCTCGATCCGGCCCAAGGTGTAAGGAAACGAACCGCCCCCATGGGCGAAACAGAATTTCAGTTTCGGAAAACGCTCTAGAACGCCGCCAAAAAGCACACAGCAGATTGCGTGCGCAGTCTCTGCTGGCATCCCGACCAACCAAGGCATCCAGTACTTCTTATTGCGTCCGTCCAATTGCATATCCCAGGGATGCACAAATATGCTAATGCCAAGCTCCTCGGCTAGTTTATAGAATCGGTCGAGCTTAGGAGAGTTCAGATCCCAGTCGTTGATATGCGATCCGATCTGAACACAATTCATGTTGTGTTCTTTGTGCACCCGTTGTAGTTCAATGGCAGCTAAGTTAGGAGATTGGAGTGGGACAGTCGCTATTCCAATGAAACGATCCGGATATGTGTTTACTACGACAGCAATATGGTCATTTAGGAAGCGGTGGAACCATAAAACATCTTCACCTTTAGCCCAGTAGTTAAACAATACAGGAACCGTCGACAAGGCCTGAATCGTTACTCCGGTAGCGTCCATCTCACGGATACGTTGGGCAGGATCCCAAAGATTGCGCTGGACTCGGCGAAAGAACTTCCCGTCATCGTAACGCATCTCATAATTGCCATCGTCAAGTTTATGCATTTGCACCCAGCCGCCATAACCGAACTTCAATTTAAGGCTAGGCCATGTTTCCGGCAAAATGTGTGCGTGCAGGTCAAGCTTGGTAACAGAGGCCATTGTGCCGTAACTGTGATCTTCTCCGAGCGGATCAAGCTAAAGTTTCGTCAGTTAAGCGGCAATTAGTTGCTCTTTTCTATCCTTTTAGCGTTACTGAACCAGTGTCATCGACAACTGCTTTCTCGTCTGCATAATGATGAGGCCAGCTTGACCGTTGAGCATAGCGTTACTGAGGAAGTTGTGCAGCGAATGGCGACGACAGCGCCAAAGTGTTTACAACTGAGAATGAACTAAAGAAAAAAAAAAAATGGGAAACTGTTGTAAACTACACCTGCACCGCTATTTTCCTTTACTGGTCTAGTCAGTCTTACTGTCTACAGTCTTTGTCACGTTCTTGGCAGGACTATACAATATGTCCAGCAAAGACCGCCGGTACCTGGATCCAAGTGAGATTCTCAACGTGCGTATCCATCAAAGGTCATAGCATAATTTGACCTGGAGGCCTATATCGTGTTAACGATCGAAAAATTCAAAGCTAACCTATTTTATTACCCTTAGATTGTAAATAGGATTCAATACGCTTGCTGGAAAAAGGGTATCACGACAGCCCGGTTTACAATCGCCCAGTCAACTTTTGGTAAAGCTGATTGTTCCTAATCAATCCGTCGTTTCTACCAACGTTTGAACGTCTTGCCGGCCGTGGCTTTTCTCTTTTGAGTTATCTGATTCAAGGTATTTTGTTTTTCAAAGATAGCCATAGCGAGACATAGTCGATTTAATAACTAGTTAACAAATGGGCGTATTTGAAGTATATCAGCAGCTTCGCCCCGCGATAATCTGCTCATCCGTGTAAGCACATGTATTCACGGTGTTTTTGAAGGCAGTTTTTGTCGTTCTTTGCCTTCTTAGCTGTGACATTTCGGTTGCTAGACGGTCTATTATGCACCGGTAATTTTGAGAAATTCAGGTTAGACAGGATTTTGAAAAGAATGCACATTTTATATACTTATATGGTAAGCGAATCGGCTAGCTTTGCGTCTCAGCGTAATGAGAGTTGATTCTAAGGACAGTTGTTCTCTGTTCCTAGCTTTTCCATATAAGTCTACATTGTTGTTGTATAACAGACTTAGATTAAAAAGCACGTCGGAAGGAGGCAGACAAACATGTAGTTGAAAATTAATTTTATATTTAGAAAATATAGGATTTATTGACGAAAAAGGAGACTCTCAGATTAAGCAAGCGCAGCTTTAAACTGAAATTTGCTTTTTTCCTTAGGTGAAATCGTTTTCGTTACTTCTACATAGGCATGTACTTTTGCGTAACTGTTACTCAAGTTTTATCTTAGATTTTTCCGAATTGTCTCTCACATGATTTTTCGAAATTGTGCACATAGCATATTATTAAGCTAAAATTTAACTGCGTTTCGTCACCAGAAAAATCAAATACTCAAGGTAACGCATGGAAAAACTTCGTTGGTTTTTTGATGGATTCTATACATGTGTTATGCAGTGTACGCAAATGGCAGCCAGCTGATTCAAATTGACGAATGCTCCCCACCTCCAACAGACATATTTTGCCCACTATATTTTATATATAATGAGCTACTGCCCACACGAAATGCCCATATCATCTCTTCGCTGAATACGACCACATAAGTATGCTCGAGAGGTCCGTACATAATATAAACGGGTCTAAGTTTAATAAGGCCAAAGTGGGTAGCACATATTTTCGACACAAAATGCATATTACCTCCAGAGAAATACGAATAGAAGTAAGTTCTCGTTCAACTATATTTATCTCGCGTGCTGTAGTGGAAACTTTCAAGGCACATTGAACCTAATCTATTCAATTTGCTGACATGTCCGTTTAGGTTACCGAATTGCGGAATGACGTAACGTAATCAGGCCTATCGTCTACTCGTCATAAAAGCCAATAACGGATATCTTCATAGCGGTAAGCATTAAATCATTGCTGCCTTCTCGATCCGTCAGACCGTTCACGCTTCTCATGTATTAGATGCATGGAGTACGATTTGTCAGCAACTTGACCTAGTTAGTGAGGGCCTACAGGCGCAGTATCTTTAGTAGCCAGTATACTCTGTTCTGACGACACGATGAGCAGGCCCGATATCTGGAAAGCAATCCCTTTTCGAGGCGCCGCTATTCAGATGCATTGAACTCAGGCGAGTAAAACGGGAGTATACTTGGATGCCAGCCAATGCTTCTGATTTGTGTCTATCAGAGCCGATAGGCGGCATTTCTTCGTTCGATGAGCCCATAGAAAAGGAAATCTACCAAAACTTCCAAATAACGAGTTGCTTACTACTTTTTGTCAAGGTTGCCTAGTAGGTGTAGATAATATACAAAGTATAAGGTAAAGATTACCTATTCTCTAGTAATTCTGATGTAGGTCACAAGTGATTTAGAAGTAAAAAGTGGTCGTAACCGGCGAAATTACGCGAATGAAGGCATCATTCGAACTGAACTAGTAATATATTTAGTAAACGAATGCTAGTTATCTGCAGCTGAGCGCTGTGTTCGATTTCCATTCAGGTTTAGGTTGGTCGTTGCTAGGAAGGCGTTTAACCTTAACGCCTGCTTGTAAGGAACATAGCTCTAATACTACGTTCAGTGTTATAACTTCAAATGAGCAAACGTATTACGGACGCAAACTTCCAGCGATTGCCTCTTCTTCCAAGCCAAAGGTGAACAATTAAACTGATCAAAATTAGTGCCAGCTTCATCTTACCCTGCGAAAATGTATAACACAGAACACCTCATTTGAAAGGAAAATATAGAAGTAGTTTACAATAATAGGTCTTTTGTACCTAGCTATCTAGGCCTGAGATGGTCACAATTGACTGAACTTCTTAAACAACTATTGCTTCAACTATAAGATTCATTTATTTAATATTTCAAGCTGTATTGTTGAAATGCGGCCAATATAATATTAATAATCACAGATTGCCTATAAAGTAGACATATTTCAATGCACGGCTAATTCTTGAATCCGCTGAAAAAATTATGTGTGTTGTTATTGGCTTGAATGGACGCCTCCTCTATAGGCGGCTTTAGTCAGTCAGATAGTGTCATCATTGATGGTACCCTTGGCTATCATTAGCAGACGATAGTGTTGACTTCAACTTTTGTTTCTTGAGGATTTTCGCTTCCGAATTTGCCTCACACCGTCTCTCCTAAATCGACGTGGCTGATAAGCGGTCGGGAAACAAAGTTGCCTCTCAAGCCATTTTCCGCTTCACTTAGGAAACAAAGGCCGGCTGAGGCAGTCAACGACGTAAGTGCACTTCGTTTCATGATAAAAAGAGTCGGTCGTTTGCATTAATGTTTAGCAGCAGGGCCGGATATAGAAATCGAGGTATTTGTTACTTACTGCTGCAACATGTTGTTTTTAAAATCCTTCTGTCTGTCTGAAAAAGGGTTTTTTCGTTGTTTTCACCTTGTAGTTCATTTAAACACTTTCGTAGTCCGTCAATATTTTTTAGAACCTGTCGCGTCCTGATGACAGATGCTTGACCCTTTTTTTTCGCCTTCTGGTGCCGTGTGCACCCATTTCAAATTACGGTTATCTACTCTAAACCTGTTGATGATTATGACCATGGGTCTGGAACGGAAGTGTATATGCTTCAATGCTTAACGTGCACCACACTAACGTGCCCCAGTACTATCGAACCGATTCCCTATTGCGTTTGAGTGTATCCCTTCGAAGTGAATTAAAATAATTCTAAGATATTATGTAAATAAATTTGGTAAAATTCATTGGTAACAGATTATTGTGATTTCTATGATTATTTGAAAAAAACAGTTACTGTGACAGCCTTTGCCTTTTTTACCGCAATCGGCCTGTAATAATAGATTTAAATAACGGCACGACCGATACTTCATAACACTTCCTTTTCGACTAACTACTCAAGTCAAACTATTTTCTTCTAAGCGAGTAGGCTGCTGCTTATCCACGTGTTTATTGCGGACTTTCCATAGTCAATCGTTTCCAGACTTGAGTCTTTCGTAAATTTATCTTACTATGGACAACCGTCAATCTTTATAATAATTAGTTATTTTTGGCGTTGTTCCTCCTCAATACAGCCTCCAATCTACATGATGAGAAAACCATATCTAGGCGCAGTGGCTACCCCATGGATTCCCAATCGTCGTCAGGTTTTAAAATTTCCTTGTTCTTTCTTTTCTACCACGTACTTTCAACACCTTCAATACGAATCTAATGATACATCGAATTCTTCGTCCTGTTCTACCTTGTCCTATCTTCTATGTCAGCGCCGCGCTGCGACCACGGCATCATTCGCTGCTACGAGGAATTTTACTAGCGCAAGCCAGCATTAACTTTTCAGCTACCACCAACAACAGCAAAATGGATCTAGCAGCAACCAGAAGCAGTGCCTGCTTCAGGACGCTGCAACGTACCTCAGCCTACTAATGCTGAGGTGTCGAGAGATGGGTTGACGACGTTATCGTTTCGAAACGAATAACGACCGCTCTAGTTATAGAACGGAGACTCGGGCAACATTTTTGCCGACCAGCTCATCTGTCCTTATTCTGCTAGCCTAGCAGCCACGTGTTGATTGATCCGACCATCGTTCTACGTCTCTATACCATTGCCTACCTTGTTTTTAATCCATGATTCGGCAACGTTATTTCATCAATGAACAGAGGTGGTTGTTACTGCTTAGATGCCGTTGTCTTCTTGGTATCACCATCTATCTTATTAGTGCCACTATTAACATAATAACGTTATGACTATTCTCATTATAATTATGATTCGATCTGTGAAACCCGTCGACGATAGCCATCTTTATAGTTTACTTCTGCAATTGCGTTGCTCGAGTCCGCCTTGTGTCTCGTGTACCGTAATTAGGTGGGCCATCTTCGACAACACGAGCGCAGTTGTCAACGGCCAGATTGTCTGCGTCTGACGCTTGTCAAAAGTATTAGAGGTGTATGGCACAGGCCCCGCGATAACGCGCTGAACAGTAGCGTTTGTGCCCGATAAAATTAGGAACGCGTGGTGCAAACTTGGGGCGTAAATGCGGTTCGTCTCGTGTCGGAAGAAGCCAGCCGTCAGTTAAGGCAGTGTGGCATGTAAAATATAGAACTCGTATATATTTATCTAGTTATTACGAGTGCTGTGGCTATTTGGACGGTCGCTGTTTAGATGTTTAGAGTAAACTGCAACAGCTTCTAGTCCTTACATGTTCCATAGCTATTGACATTTACTACCATTTTACATTGTATCGCACCGTACGGCCGTGATTTTCGTTGATCTAACAGTAACTAACTGACTTCCATCGTTAATAGCGATGCCTATCGTATTATCCTGCAACGTCTGGCTTTGCGTCGGAGACATCCGTGGCCGAGAAGCGATAACCCAACAAGAAGACCTATTTCAGAAAGCACCCATTTCGCTAGTATAACATTTATATTTATTAGCATGTGATTTCCTAGATCACTACTTGAAATTTTATTGGTCTGGGCCTCGTTAGAAGAAAGTATGCTTGTTCGGTAGCGATACGCTTTATCTATGTGTCGAGCTTGGCGTGTTTGCGTGTCTCTACGAATGGGACAAGTCTGTATTAATATAAATGATAGTAGTATTAATACCAGTAACCTTTTCTTGATCCAGCGGGCACGTAAAGTCACGATTGTTTTTGGTCTAAGAGTGTCGCTTCGTGCTACTTCGTCACTAAAATACAGATATCATTATTTGTTTGAGTCGTTACTAGGATATCTTATAGACACGTGAACAATCTAAACATTTTAATAATATTCTTAGTGCGCAGGGCACTTAGATGGTGCTGTTTTTCTCTGCGTTACGCTATTCAAGGAAGGCGTTTTTGGACATGAGTTTGTGCCGTGTCATTCATAGAGACCTCCGCATCGGAAGCCGGTGCGCTGTTCGACTGGCTCGTGGTACGATTCATTAAAACACACGACATGGTCGAGGCCCTGCACTGCTTGCCGGATTACCGCATGTCTCTTCCTTCCATGCTCCGTCCTCCGTGGGGTCAGTGATATAGGACTTTGGGTCGGCCATTCGTTCCATCTATTGTGAAGCGAATTGTGGGTAGGCGGGCATTTTGGCAGGGCAAACTGGCGATGAGGACTCCCTTGCCCTTACACATATGAACAGTGATGGCAAGACGCAGACAGGCCCAATACTCTTTAGTTAAGTTAGACTTTAACATACACGTTTAGACTTTTCTGGCACGAGGTCCTTCTACCTGAGTTTTGTGCTACCGGTACGAGCTTGACACTGGAAAGGAGTATTACCGTATTCAGGAAGAGAAGCGACGGCCTCTCTATGACAGCACTTCGGTGTTTTCCTACCGGTGCGCATTCTGTTACATTGCTGTGTGTGTGTGTGTGTCCAGCAGCAGGACAGGACTAGTTTTAAATAGCAAAAATGCTTTACAGATTCCAAGGCTGACGAATACATACATTTGCTGCTAATCGCCCTGCTTCTCTACCCTACGGTTTTGGTCTTCTCTAAATTGGCTTAGGACAATACCTGCTCGACCTTAAAGCGACTTTGTCTCATGGATCGCGAGATGTATCGTCGTACAGTAAAATATTTGATCTGACAAACTTGATTTACCGATTGCGCTGTCCTGAGATCGTTTCGGGAAGACCGAGTTGTCGCCCTAAACTATTTCTGTAGAGTTACGCGACGCCATCTTGTGTCGTAATGGCCTTTCCTTACAGAATCGCGGCGGTGACCTGGATGAGCTTATAGGAACGTCCTATTTCGGCGAGCTTGAATGAAATTTAGCTTCTTCATGTTTTATTAAACGCCATCTTGAGGTCAACGAACACAGTGCAGGCAAACGGTTCGGTGTATTTTGTATTTAGGATGGAACCCATCTTAACAAACAGGATTTGGCTAACTAACTAATTTCTATCGATTTGCCTTTGAGAAGGCAACTTTACTGTTGTTGCGTAGTGTTTGTTTTGGTGCAGTGCAACGCCGTCTGTTGTACTTTAGCTAACAACAATGATCGGAATGTTTACAAATGACGTATAGCTGAGATAATTTGCTACGTGACAACATATCTTATTTCCATAACATAAATAAATTCTACCTTCCATAGAAAAATATCTAAAACGTCACTCTGATGTCGTTTATATAGAAACGAAGCATAAATATAACATCGGTTAAATAATGTATTTTTTACGAGTTCAATAATTATCTACAAGCTATCTAAGGCTAATGGTGAAATTTTCTTGGGGGCTATAACTATTAATGGCATTATTGCAGAGAATGGAAGTTTACAGTGATAAGAACTTGTTGCTTTAGAACCATCAACGTAAACTACAAAGAATCAGATCGTGTAGAAAAAATTATATTATTTGCTCATATCATAAGATGAGGAATAACCTCCTATTGAAGTGAGGAACAGGTAAAGTGGTTTAAGGTTGAAACAGCGCGCAGACAGAGCGTTCGGAGTAATGCCTAGCGGGGCCAAATCCGAAATATTCGTACATAATAACTATATCATTATCAAGCATTTTTTTTCCTATAGATTCGTAAGTTGCACAATTAAAGGAGCGTTCATATCTGTGGTCAACCTCGTTACTCTTTAGTGAATACGGCTACGTTCGAGCCTGTTTTTCTCTGCTGTTATAAATGTCTGATATCGTTAACGTCCGATGCGTGCTTCTAATGACAAAAGTGGGTAGAAATTGATTCAGAGAAACTGTACGAAAGCAAGGTGTAGCATTAGGTGGCATTTTATATAACTCCGCAAATAAAGTCCCGTTTTAAAAAACAACTTTGACACGAACTGGCGCTCCATGTCATCGTTTGACCGTCCTATAATCGCATCGAAAGCGCGTAAAAAGCCACTCCAAAATAAGAAACCCTTTGAATCAGCAGCACACCGTGGCTCATCACTTAGCACGGCATCAACTATATAGAAGTTCTTCGTTTCGACTAGAAACAGTCTATATCCAGATTATTTCTTTTTCGTTAGCATATTCCATATGGGAATTGACGTTTGACATGATTCGCTACCCCTCTCTATCACCCCGTACGCACAACTGGGTTAAGCTAGGTCTAAAACTTCTTTGATATGAAACACGCATCACTTCTATTTAACGTCATCAAAGAAATCCATAACTAAGATAGGTATCTTTAAGTAGTAGCTAATTCACTATGTAATTGCAGTAAGTGTCCTCGTATTGTTAGGTTCCTATTTATGAAAGAAGCAGAGAGAAAACAACTTGCTCGAGTTGATTGTTTTTGACGTGGTCGGCTTTCGTCGCAACGAGTTCGATGGGACCGAAAACAGGTTGGCTTGATTTTCGGGCGAGAACATAAGGTCGTTGATGGTAGACCGACGAAGGTTATGGGTGTAGTGGTCAGAACTTATCATCCCATTCACTGCCATGATCACCAGTACTATAGCCACTTCCACAAGTTCAGCACGGCAGCTTTTTGTACGTTGATCACAAAAATTGTTTGGCCGAGTTTCGCTTCAGCTCCTGGTTACGGCCGAAGGAATTAGGCTACGCAGTGGCAGATGGCCGGTCTAGCAATGGAGGCTAGGTAGCTCTGTGGGGCAGAAATAATATGGGCGATGCCAATCGGGCTGGCAACCGCCTTAGTCGAAGTGTCCCAGGCACCCTCTGGAAAGTATAAGGGGTATGCCGCTAACGTTTTCAGACAACTGGAATATTGCGATGGAATCCTTTCGCTCGAAATCAAAGCAATGCTATTGTTGTAGTAGCAATAAGTTCCTCATAGATAAAGACACGATATTTTTACGTGCTACGACACATGATTTGTTCAGGTATGCGATGAAAATCGCTAGATAGGGTAGCCTTTGGCAAGTAAAGCAACCTGCTAAAACAATGTAAGTGCACTTTTGCATATAGAAACATTCTTTTATATAGGAAAGTGTATATATATATATACACTTGTTTCTTATACTGTTTATAAATAGGTAACGTTGATTTTATACTCTACATCGTTTGTTGTCAATGGGTACTACTGTATGACAAATACGCTTCCAACAACTTCTAAGCATAAATATTGCCGGCTGTCGATTTCGCTACCTGAAAAGGCTACTCTAGCCAAGGAAACGGAAAGATCCCCAAATAAAAGTTAACATTTGTCTTAAAAATAAGCTCATATTGCATCCGCGACGCATAGCTATTCCTCGCAGAATCTGAGGCGATATTAATAATAAATGTTTCAGATACGTCTGGTAATGGCATCAGGCACTGCTACAGAGAGCTTGTTCCCTCTAGTACGAAACGAAGTACGTCTACGCCCGGCTTCGAACGAAGTTCGAACCTGAATAAGAAGTAAACCATCTTACATTTCTCTAGGTTTCGCTAGCAAACATGACGGGAACAAGTGACACCCTTAGAGGCAAAGCGCGTGAAGTCTTATCTGTCCATACCTAATTCCTGGGTTTTTTGAGCAGTTCAGCCGCTCAACCCTAACACAGCATCCGGTCTCGATGCAGTCAAACCCACTGGACAAGCCAATCGATAAAGCGTAAAAGGGTCCGGCAGAGTAGCATTCTTCGAACTACTTTTTGAATACTATGGTTAGAAGCAACACTTGCTAAACACCAGGACAAAACAACTTGAAATTGTGATAACGTTATCAGCCCGACGTTCGATGAGGTTCTCAAAATGATCGCGCATTGCGAGCACCTGTATGCGTTATGCGGCTTTGTTTATTTCTTGCCTCGATTTGGTTCTCTGCCAAATGGTCCGTCTGCAGAACACTGAAACTGTTTCTTTACCGAGGTAGCAGATGATTGCGAGGTTTCTAAGAAACCCAAAAAGTTTACCGTACAGTAAAAGACAAAAAAGAAAGAAGCTTTACTTCTTTTTAAGTTCCTAAATGCAGTTGGTGGATTTGGGCAGAATTTATTGATCTAACCGAACGTTGTATTACGAACTAGACATGTTCCTTTTTCAAAACATTGGTTTAATCTATGTTTACCGACATCGAAGTTTAATCCGATGCATTAATGCTAGTCTTTACGCGTTACCCCAGTGGGCTTTGATCTAATGATGTAATTCTTAGGTCACCGAGAGGAGCTCGGTGCGTGATACCTTGAGAATAGCTTAAGGCGCCCTACGTTAAGCCTCTCCTTTAGCGGAATCTAAAGATTTCCTTGCAACAATACGTAGAGTAAATCACATTTATCGGTCGTATGCCAAAGTAACTGATCATTTAATTGAGTCCATACATATAATCCAGCGAGGTCAAAGGATAACTGCATAAGAATAGGAATTATTGTTATACGACGAGACACACCATCTACGGCACAAGACCAATTACAGATTACTGCTTTATTAGATATAGATATATATGCACTTGCTTCGGATATATATATATACACAACACGATCATTAACCAGGAGTTTTTCTACCGTGAGACGGTAACGAAGATAGCGATGCTGATAAGGAAATCATTAGTTTTCTGAAGATAAATTGATTCCCAGTATTTCTAACATTTATCATCATGAGACAGACCGAAGATCCGAGACCTATTTATTTAAATTACCCGATTCTAGCAACTCACCACGAACCCAACATCCATATAATTGGGTGGTCATACATCAGTGTCCTTGATCGATGGGTTACCGGATATGGCCTGTTTGTGTGCACCAGATATATTCTGTGTTTAATAAACAATATATGCCCCCTGCCTCCTCCGCCCACGGGACACTTTCTTAGTTAACCTTCATTACTCAGCCCAATCGTCAGGAGCCCTAAGTCTGCAAGAGAGGTTTTTTTCTTAACACGTCCTAGGCTGAATTCGCTTTCATCTAACTGTTTGCAGTATTCCAGCATCTATAGAATCTTTATCCACCGAAATTAGCAGGTGTTGATGTGCACCTTTGACTAACTTCTGCGAAAATTTCTTGGAAACAGGAAGAATTAGTAAGATTTACAAACTGAACGCCGGCGGCTAATTCCGAATATTTCCTCGTAACGAAGGCGGGCCAGACGAAACTCCGTTCACACTTTTAGCTTATTTAATGTTCTTGTCTCTTTATTTCTAGCAACCTCTGTGACATCTTCTATTGTTGATGACTAATCTCGTAGCTCTCGGAATCTGTTGCGTAAGTCTTTCGCCATTGGGGAAATCGCGTGTACTGCCAAGGCTGGCTAAAACTGATGGAAGTTATAGGAAATGACGAAGAAGTGTTGAAATGCAGCATAGCTGGTGCGTCAACGATGCCGCCGATTCTGGTCATATCGAAGCGGAAGGTGATGAACGCAACAGAAAGAGTGTTACTTTCGATTTGGTGGAAATGCCGAGCTGCCATAGCGGAACATGGCGACTACATAAGAGCTGGCCATTTCGTTGTGGCGGTGCAGTCTCGCGGCATCTTTCCCTATTGTAGGTAAACTGTGTCCTTTACTAGGATAAATCGGATGCAGTCCACACGCCGTATGAACTATAACCAGTAACGCTGGTTATAGTTCGTGCGGGCACAACTTTACGAAGGAGAAACGGGCCAATCAAGGACGAAACGCAATGCCAGAAGATGTCAGAGATACGCGTTTTGGATAATCGAATAGAATATGCAGAACGTGTTACCGTGCGGAGGCATAAGAGATAAAGCTGAATTAGATGTTCGAATCGATACCGACGACGTTTTCCTTATACCGCTCCCAAAACAGGATCACAAAAATGTGCCTATTGCCCGAGCCTAGCGATAGAATATATTTTACGTCTGGGATAGATCGAAAATGTTGGTAAGTCATTTTCGTTGACGGACAAAATGTTGCTTTCTGATCGATATTCAGACTCGTTGCGGGTCTGCTCTGGCCTGATCCCTGATCATAATCATGTCATTTTGACACGGAGTTACTATACTGCAATCGAAAAACAGTTGCCAACCCCTCGCCACGAAGGAACAGCTATTAAATTTTAACTATTAATAGTGGTATTCGAAAATATCAGTTAGAACCTATGTTGTACATAGAACACGTTCAGGGGCCCGACGGAGACATCGTAACGTTGGCTTGTCATTTCTATAACTTCAATTGCGGTGAACGTGTATAGGGCTGTTACTTGCTATAACCAGTCATAAGCGGTTAACAACGCATCATGCGTCCAGTTGAAAGGTCAATAAAGATGTCGTACTTGATCATCGACCATCGGATCAACACTATCAGGCATAGTATTTTGGAAAAAAAAAGTAAACATCGTTCTATCAATTTGCAGAGATGCGCAATCAGGGGAAAAGCAGCTTGGAAACATGCTGCTAGAATAGAATAAACATAGATTCGCCACTGGTTCCCGACACGTACTGTTATTCATACAGCTCAATACGTATAGGCGCACTACCGTTAAAGATCGGACTTTCTTAGAATTGAAATCCACTTACAACGACACTGACTCATGGTCATAAGATGGGCGTTCAGCACTCACTCAACAGAACGAATAGAAATGTTCCGATCAGGTTCCATTAATTAAAAGCCATCATCGTCTTGACCATACAATACGTTCGTGCTGCCACCCAATTTTGCCATACATTGAAGTTAGCCTGTACTTATACAACGTACCGTACTATAACGGATATTAACTTGATAATAGATAAATCAGTGGCAAAATTTCGTATCAGAATCATTTGTCTCTGCCGAAACTATGGGAACATTTATCCGCCAAACGTAATGAAATATGAAAAAGCCATTAAAAAAAGTAGGTGATTTTGTAGAAACCTCAACTGGGAGTGTCGAAATCATTTTATAGAAAAAGCATTCTTGTCTTCCGTCTAACGTCAATTTCGAGTAAATTAAAAACATATATTGGTAAAAAGTTCAATAAAAATTTAAAGTAGTAAGCCTTGCATTTCAGCTCTAAATATAAGCACTAGTCATAATTAGAGACCGGAATTAGAAAAATTGGGGCATCCGAACGAGAAAATGTATGAAATCAGTTAGTGTAAAGGTAGTGAATCTACTTTTTTTTTCCCTGGGACTGTGGCTGTACTTTATTGGCTTTGAAGCCATAGTTATGAAGTTTGAAGCCAGGTGAAATTATTTGGCGAACAGTGTCGTATATGTTGAATTTGGCAAATCTCCTCCAATTTTCCAATGGATATTCAATCCACGTCCTGGGAGAAATAGCTGCTTAAAGCAGTTTGTTTCATGTTTTCTTTTAAACAGCTCATAGTTCTTCTGATCGCATGAGCACTTCGGGGCTATCTCTGTGGTTTCTCATAAGAAAAGCAGATACCGTACCTTTTACGTCACCTGTTGATTAGAACTTTTGTCTACCTATCATCATAGTTATTGTACTGACAATGTCGCAGGTTGTCACGTTTTGGCAAAATAGTCGACTTCACCAGGAAACAAGTGTGCTACAATAATTTGCAATTAGGGCCTTTGTTTAAAGACTATTGCAAGTCTGATTAGCACCTGGATGGTAAAGTGAAAGGACAGAGCCCTAAGCTAACGTGATACCTGTACGCCTTCGCCAATACTGGAAGACTTGAAGTAAATACTGATAATAATAGAACTGAATAGTCAAGAGTAAAAAGTTCGAACTGTATTCTATTGTACGTCTCTTTTTTATTTACTTTTAATCTCTCCGCTATTAGAGCAAGCTTTATCTAACGCGTACACATTGCCGCCCAGTGGGCTTCGTGCAATCACTATTTTTTCCTAAATGATGCACGTTATGCGTTTCCAATACAAATACTAACGCAAAATAGCGGTTAGATGATTCAGTCGTGCTCTGTGGTCCAACTGGGAACACAAAACCCCGTCCTAGCCATAAAGGACGTCAATAGACATTTTTTTAAACTACTTGAAACAACGTTTTGATAAATGGGGGCGCTTCGATCGTTCGTTTAGGATTCAAGAAAAGTTTCAACCTGCGTGTAGAGCGTAATTGTATACGACTTTCAAGGCTCTTACTAGCACTTCCGCTAAGTTAACTACTTCGAAAGCCTGTAACGTACGAATCGAGTTAAGTTAGTTAGAGCAAATCATGCTTGCACCTTTAGGAGTTTCTGGGCGCGTCTTTCGTCCTCGACTTTATAATAATAGAATATATCGAAATGACGCTATCTCAATCATTGGGTAACGCTGACGTATTGCTATTCAGTATCGAAAGCAATGATCAGGATTCCGTTCCGTTCGATTCGAAAAAGGTACCCTTAATTTTGAGATTTGTTTACGTTCAGCAAACAATAATGCGTCACATCGCACGAGGCGGAAGCCTTTGCAGACACAAATTGGTTAAGTCATATTGAAATCGATCGCCATAAGCCGGTACTTCTAGCGCTATCAGCAACAAGATTTCAGCCCTTAGTAGCCCTACTTTATCAATATCGGCTGCAGCATATTTTCCAGTAACGTACAGTCAAGGCGATGAAACAGAGCTTCGATGTTGGATGAAGTCACTTTGGAACGGACAACAAATGCGGACCGCTTTTTTACGAAGAGACTCAGTGCCGCTGTCTTCCGCCGCGTCGAGTACCAACTACGATGAAAAGTTTCTCGAGTTAAACGAAACAAAACACCTCTGTATGTACATTGATTATTCCACTCTATCGGTCCACCTAGAGAGCAACAAAAGCACTCTATCTGTAGAAAAGTTCCCGATTCTAACTAGCCAACAAGCTCATCTCATGTTAGCCAAGAAGCCCTTGAATAGAACAGCACGGTAAAGGTTATTTTTATCTTCTTCTTATTAGTCTCTCACAATTACACGCATTTGTTTATCGACATAACATACATTGATATGCACAAACATTTATTTTAGTCCCCGTGCACGCAAGCTAGCTACCCCTATTCACTTCCCCTGGGGCTTTTTTGCTCTACTCCTTTATTTATATCGGAAGTGTCGTCGTTGTCTTGAAACGTTCTTCCTTGGCGCTCCGGTTCCCGTTTGATTTGACAAGCAGCTTTCATCAGTCTGTTGCGTGCATTTTGTCAGAAGCAGAAAAAGCAGCTACCGCGATCACCGTCGATCTGGATACTATAGACGGATAGCAATCTAGAAGCGGACCGGGAATGAACCGAAGAAAATGACGAAGTTGCTGTTCCTATTATCGACTGTCAGGGCTGGCGCTGTTGTCTCCGAGCGACGGATAGAAAGTAGCTGGGGCGGTTGGAAGAGACATTCTTCGGTTGTCTTTGCTAATTCCAGTTCGCCGTAGCCGTAAGAGCAGTTGTAGTGGTAGAATGAACAGTAAATGTTCCAGTTGTTCCTACTGCTGTAGCACCATTAGATCCTACAACAGTTGCTGCTGATAACTACAACAGCTATCGAGGTCCCGCGGCAATGGCATGTCACTTTGAAACTATTATACTTAGGGATAGCTCCGATGACACGGTTGCCTGCTTGGCATAGTGGTACAAGTAAGTTCCTCTCCTCACGTCGGTCTTTGTCCTAATAATGACGACGACGCAGATATGCCGACGCGATGATGAGTCGACACGCTGGGCCAGTAGATGCTGTGGGCTGTGCATTTTCAACTCAAACTGTGCTGGAGATAACGGTCGGGATGAACGTCGAGATGCCGAACTACCTACTTTGACCGGCATTAGGTCATGTCAATTTGTACCATCAGCTCGAAGAGGAAGGGAATGAGAAAGAGTAAATGTTGTACATGTGTAACGTTTTGACTGAAAGGTTTACGTTACTTCAACGTTTGAGCCTGTACCTACTGTTCACTTTAATAACTCAGCTGGTTCGTTAGGAGGTGTTATTAAATAGGATATTAGTTTGTTTTTTTTTTTGCTTCGGTTTGACGAGTATCTATTTGCAGAGGCATAGAATCAAGTGCAGATATCTAGCATAGGGTATACACACCGTGTCAGAACTGATCATCAAAGAGCTGATTCCATTTGGAAGATCTTGAGGTGTTTGCATGACTTTGTAGTAAAATATACCACAGTATGTCTGAACGAAGTATAATAAGTATAATTGAAGTTATAAAGACGAAAAACGTATATTTATCGGGCTGATTCGCCTTTCAAAAGTTGCCTTTTCGAAGATGAATCGACCACGAAAGACTCTCGATGTACGTCTTTTTGTTCAGACGTGCTTTGGAACAGTGGAAATATATTCTGTTTGGTCTTCTTCTTCTCTGCTCGAAACGACTCCCCCAGACGCCAAGTCTATGAGCCAGCCCGTGCGCGAGGAATGTGGGGACCCTGCTTGTGGCAACATGCGGTAAAGTCACTCCGGCATGGATCTGAGTTGCAGACAGCCGGGTCCTAAGGCGCATTGTCCTAAATGGCATGCTTGTTCCACTAACACAATCCGTGCACGTCAAAAGAATGGCTGCCGGCGTCAGACCTCATGATTTTATATAATATTATCGTTGTATTAAGCAGGACGTTTTCTAAATGTATTCGGATAGCAATTTTCTGGTTGAAAGTAGCTGGCGGTCTCGGGCAGAAACAAGTAGTAGGCAATACTATACTAGTAGAAACAGTAAATAAAGGGGCAGTTGCCATAATAGATGAATTAGAGAGGAACTTTACGCTTTCTATTTCTAGCAAGGATAGAAAGTGCGGCGGTTTTTTTGCAACGCGTCAGTGGTTGCCTATAGCGGTTGAATAGCAAGCATCGTAAAGTACTGATACACAATTAAAAAATTACTTAAATGCTGAAAGTTACAGATCAGTCAGTTTTTTCCAGATAGTAAAAATTGAGTTTTCAACTTTATGATTTCGCGTTTGTATACGCGCAACAGTTGCACCCAGAAAATGTCATCAAAAAAATGCGCGATATAATAAAAGTAATGGTTAGACATTTATTCTAAGGTGCTTTGAAGTTGTACTAGATAAAGAGAGCCACGATCCGTAGTAAACAAAAAGCAACGTCACTATCTAACAGATGAAACTTTGCCGGAAACGCTGCTCGACAAGGGGTCAATTTGCGTCATTGCGTGCTTTGAACAGAGCTAACGTGTGGCTATATTCCTCGAGGAAAACTAATGCCGTTAACGATTTCATCTAACCGAAAGTTTCACTAAGAAATCTGAACTATCAAGCGCGCCGCAAGTAGATCAGCCGGGCCGACAGATACTTAAGCCCGTACTTAGTTCCGTGAAAAAAAAATAGGATTTAACGCTTTTTAAACTTGCTAAAATGAGACACCTAACGCTTTTGCTAAACTGGACTTCGGCGTGTGAATTAGACATTCGCTAAAGCGTCGGCCATGTCAATGTTCATGCTTGAAATATACTAGAGAAGCCACGTTTCCATTTAAACAGACTTCTAAAGATCTAAAAAAAATATGGATCTATATGGATGGAAGGCGTCAAGTATAATCCATAAGAATCAGTGATCCAATCACTTGAAGTAAATCTTTACTCAGTGTTTTGCCTTTCGTTCTATCTCATGGAAGTTGATAAGATAAAAAAAAAAAAAGAAAGAAAGAAAGAAAGAAAGAAAGAAAAAAAACTATATATTCGCTTCAAAGGGAAGATATAAATGACTATCGCAACTTACGCGACTTTGGGCCGAAGCTGCGAAGGTCACATCTAACTTAGCAAATTTTCAAGTCCGACGCTTCATTCCGAGCTTAATGATCGAATTTCCGGTTGCCAAGGGTAGCATTGGCGCAAAAAACTATGAAAAGAAGCTATACCGTGGTAAGTGAAGGTGCTACCAAATAAATAGCACTTTATCGTACCCAGATAGAGTTGTATCTAGTAGTAGGAGCAATAGTTTACCACATTTTCCGTTAGGAGAGCATGCGTGATGGCTCTATATAGCCGTCTTCTTTTAAACATACGTTTATGCGTAGACTTTACATAAGAGAAAGAGCAAATAACAACTGATACGGATTTTTGTCGAGATATAAGACCGCTCGCATTGTTTAGCCAAGTGTTAGACTTCGTTAAATCAGCGGAAATGCATCTAAAAGTAATTACCTTAGATGTTTCTGCGCAAAATCCCGCTAAAGTCTGGTAGACGTACAGGCGCCCTGGATGTCGACAACGATTAAGCATCCGTTAATACTAAAGATCTCTACAATTCTATACGATATTGTTTTTATCAGCAGTGAGTTTTCTGCAGTTCTTAAAACGTATGTCCTCCTTTCTGTTAGGTTCGCTATATGACAACTTGTTAGGATTGCATGTGATGATAATAACGGTGTTGTTTAACGATCGCTAACTATTTTCTAACCATAAAGTATAGGTTGGCCGTCAGGAAAAAGCAGGCTTTAGATTTTTGCATCTCTGTTATTCGTATATACTATAGAGGGTGGCAAAAGTTGTCTGACGGATGAAAAAAGGTCAGATAACCGTTACAGAGTCCTATTTTCGTTTTTCCTCTAACGTCTGCGTCTTAGTCTGTTACCAAAACTTTGCCCATGCTAGAGCAGTCTTTCTCCGTACGTGGCAAGTAGATAATAATCGTGAAGGTCATAAAGCTCATTATGTACCTCAAGTGGCATGCCTACCTGATAGCTTTTTACTCGCTACAACCTGTATTTAACCGTGGCCGTTATCGTAGTCGTTGTACTGTGAATTTAGCTGTTCAACCTATAACGGACAAATCCGAGCGCACGAATATATCCTTGCCTTGACGTCTTTTACAGTAAGTTCACAAGCGTCAGTTGTCACACGTATGTAGATATCCTCGTCGAAGTATATTTTGATGACACCTTGTAATGTTCCTAATTTTTTATTCCTTTATTATTCACTATTTCCAGCAAGATGAGCCACCCTAGACGCGTATTGTGTGAGCACCTGCAGCAGTGGAGCTCGCGCGTCACCGAATGAGCTCGTGGAGACTAAAAGCTCTGAGGACTCACTTAAGAAAACCGGTAGCACAGCGCCGTCTGGCGTGGATATTCACAATTTGCGAATGTCACAGCTTCAACGGTGAGGACTCACAAACAGATAAGTACACGCAGGAAGACTTCCGGGCTGGGGTCGGTTTTGTCATTTGTATACATTAGCCATGCGGTAGGACAGTGTGAAATCGAGTCGCCACCTTTAATTAACATTATGACTTTTGGCATACTTTGACATTCTTATAATGTACAGTGACAACTGTGAATTAATATCTGAGATTGCGTTTACGGCCGTTAAAAGTGTAAACATTTTTTTCAACGTGTGAAAATTTAATCCTTTAAAAGGCGTGCAGTCCATACGAAAAAGCACTAGATATGAGACAATCTAAAAGGGGCCGGTACCGAATTGAAAGACCATTCTTGATGATCCGTGTTGTAAACCTACATGCTTAATAAGGGCATTCTATGATAGAGATATGCAAATTAGGTCTAGTTGTCGTATGGTGCGGACACCGTAAGCACCGACAGAAATGGTGCTCCACAACCGTTCGACATGGCGCAAGTTGCGATTTGTCGAAGTGACAACAATGCCTTGTTTTGATAGAACTAATTAGTTTAGTTATTCTACAATTTTGTATTGCTTTTATCTTTCTCACGTTAACCAGCTGTAATACTGTATTATTGAACACGATAGAACTTCTTGCCTAGTTGTAGAACCTACTTAATTAAACTAGGCATACTTCTGCTAAGGCCTCGGCTGTTCACCGGCTTACCTTTATGCGCCGGGTGCTTCGTCTGATAATGGCTGACACAAGCAGCTTGATTCAGCGAAGTGCCGCATCATTTACGATCGAAATCGAGTGAGTGAACTAATTCGAACGATAATGACGACTTCAACCGATGGGGCGGCAAAATAGAAAAATCAGCACCGATATCTGACGACCCTCGGCGTCTCACCTAACGACGTCTCAAGGACACAGTTACTTTGGCTTGTCCTGCTTTGTACGCTCTACGAGGCTTTGTAACAAATGCAAAAACAACTTAAAAGATAGAAACATACCATCACGATTATTTTGACATTTCAATCCCCTCATGAATATTGTTAAGGAATCATTGCATGCAGTAGTGGCAGCCCAAGTGTTCGACTGGACAGAAGCAAATATCTGAGATTGACTCGTAAAATTTGAGAACAAGCTCTCAGCTGAAAAAGGTTTGTCTGTTCATCTGACCATAGCATCGGCGTTAGACCTTAACAGAATGAAGAACCGTAACGTGCGGCCGCTAACATCTCATCATGGTGTAATGAAGTCACCTATTTCCTATGAATTCCACTGTTCTTCTGATTTAGTCCCGTAAAAACAATAACTGATGGAAATGTTGAAATCGCCGCAGCATCACGGGTGCACTTTTTCGGGCTGTTATTCTATAGATAGCTTCGTTCCAATTATTTGCTATATTCCTCTTTTTTTTTTGCTGCCATTCAAGCGACACCAAATCTGTGGCTTTCTCTGTATACGGGCCGAAGCTTTCGCCAGTTAATCTATCTGTTTTCACGTATCCCAGCGCTGCTGGAAGCGCTCGTCAAGGAAGTCAACACGAATAAGACTCTACTTGAAAAAAAAACTATTATATTTAAACTAAAATATAGCGGTATAATGAGCAAAAATAGATTTTGAATAACTAACGAGTGTTAGTTATACGGTCAAGTCCATATATATAGCGTAAAAGTGGATGAAGATGGGTTATTCTGATAGCGTTATTTATGTTGAAGATGGTACTGAAAGGTGTTTCAGTGCTTATTAGACAAACTCTCCCAGTGTGGATAATAAGAGAATTAGTCACACGTAGACGCACAAAAAATGGCCGGATAATAGATAATTAAGATAATTTTAATCTAGCCTATTTAAGGAAAGATTAGCTTGGCCAGTGATTTCGTTGGCCCCTAACTACTTTCGATATGCCTATACTAGATAAATAATAACCGCTTTGACTTCTACAAATGTTTAAGCAGATTTTAGAGGCCTAAGTATATTACGACTGTTTCCTTTGTAGTTCTATTTTAGATCCGAGTCATTTTTTGCAAAACAGAACTTCTGTGTTGAACAAGTCGCGACGCAATTATATCATTAGAAAGAAGGGTATTATAATTGAATCCACTTCACGCCTGGATATTTTTTTTTTCTCTATTAAGTTAAGATTGATAAACAATGTCTTAGTGTTACCGAAAACGAAACATTTTTTTCTAGCGTTTCTTCATTTTCCGGAAAATCAATATATAGATATACAAACATATTTCCTAAGCGACAATTCCCGGCAAAATGTGAAACGTATTGGCCTCTACAGCTTCTTCAAATGAGCAAGCAGTTTAACTGCCTACGAGAGGTGCCATATGCAGGTCGAAACTCTGTAAAACGATAGACATTAGCAGACTGCTTTAATGTTGAAATATTCAGGGGGTTAGTAGAAGCGTTGTAGCAAATACTTTCTAACTATTTTCAGACCCTAATAGAATAAGGGTCTTACTATACAATCACCTCGAAACCACACGAGTGCCCCAAACTCGGTGATTTTGTATATCTGTCATTACATATCTTCTCGGTTGTTGACATTGAAGGTGATGGTACAATTATCAAAAATAATAAACGGAGACTAAATAAGTTACTCGAAAATAAATCAATCTTACCATATTATGAATAGTGGGTAGAAATAAGCTAGCTCATTTGTTAAATAAATTTTAGTTATAGGATGGTAACGTGAATATTGTTTATCTGGCTTACTCTAGGCATGGGATGCTTCACGGTTTTCTGGTTTTGGAGTCCTTTGGACTTTGTTACTACGGCTTGTTCTACTACCTCAGGGGTTGTTAGCGTTTGTTTTGGCGATAGCAAAGGGGCTAGCAAGACTGGTATCATAAACTACTTTGACATAAGTCAATGATTCAAATGTAGATATCGGTGCGAAAGTTTGTTTGGAAGGGGCTTTCATGGATGAATGGAGGTAAAGAGTTATAGGTTATTTAGAGAGCTTTAGTTCGCCGCCTATAAGCAAGGATAGCGTGTCGACTCCTTAGAAGACCGCCTGAATGAACTACGTTGTTATGGAGAGGTTAGCTCATAGTCATATCCGCTCGAACTTGTCCTGAGCTCAGTTGGCATCCTAAAGCTCTGATTGTAGCATTCTAGGATTCTGTCGTACGCCTAATACACGCACCATAAATGAAGCTATCAATCGCGTGCTTTTTATTCATTTTTTTCTGTTATCGCTAGCTTAGTTAAAAAAACATCTTTAAAAGAACTGGCAGCCTTGTGCACAAATTTACAATATATAACTGGTAACGTCCTACCGGCTGCAGAAACGTTGATCACGCCTGAAGAGACCACCGGCACGAAATGACGAGCCATCTGTGACTATTATAACACTCTACAATTAACTCTTTTTTAACAGAGAGACCAAGTGTTCGGTGCGATAGGTAGTGTGCCATCGTCAGTGCGTTGTTCGTAATATAAAACGAATCAATTTCTCAGTAATGAAATCGTATAGAACCGTGTTTAGTTAAAAATCCAGGTCGTTGATTGAATTGTAAGTTCTGTACTGGTGATTGCGGACTAAATCTATCAGCAGCTGTAGCGTGCCTATAGACTTGATTTTCGATCTATATGGCTATCTTGTTGTGACGGGCCTGTGCTCGCAAAGTGTGCATGCAGCTCCGCGAGTTTGACAAAAAGAAATTTGTCTAGAGGTCGCCATGATTCGATTTCGCCGTAATGCGAGGACATGGCACACAAATGACCCAACCACAGAAACCTTCTCTGTGTCGGTTCAATGTCCGTTAGAAATGCTGACCCACTGCTACCTTGGCAGATCTTCCATAACCGATAGTGATTCAATTGTCGTCTTATTGAAGAGCAAAGAAAAAGTCCAATTGAAAAAAGATTCAGTCGCTCCTTCTGCCAGTTCACACCATCATCGTAGACGACTTCAGCGTTCCCATAAAAATCCGCTGTCTCTGATATGCGTGAACGGTTGCCTTTGAGGATGGATTGCAAGACGTAAAGATATGCAGATTTGTAGAAGTATTCGATCCTGCCGACAAGACCTTGTCGTAACGACCTAATGAAACATACTGGGCAACAACACAATAGCTTTTTTTTAAAGCATTATAGAACTTGTATATGTTACATAACGCTTAACATACGTACACTTCCTTGATGATACTGGAAAAGTTTTGGGAAAACCGTTTGGGATTAAAATAAGAAGACAAGAACGATCTGTGTGGGTTGTTTTGAAATTTCACTGTATAAGCTTCACGATATAGTTAATGACAAGCATTCACATAACTAGGACCTGAAATATATATATATATATATGTTATATATATATCTCTTTTGTTTGTTTTACAGTGAGATTTTGCAATGGGTAAAAAAAGTATGTTCGCGTCAACGGGTGTTCGCGTAATACTAACTGCGTATTATAATCAGAAGGAGCAGGTCATCCTTATGATGTCTAAAGCTAACTTGCTTCATAATTATGCGATGCAATAAATGAAAGTAATAGCCTTAAGGCTGTCGCTGATAAGCCGTAGTTCCTTAATCTATAGTCTATATACGCACCGTAGCCCTAAGAATAACGGCTCGAAAATGAGCTCGTCTATTATACGCTAGAGAAGGCGCATCCCTTTAAATTTCAGAGATGAAAAATGCAACGAGCAAAAAACAAAAGAAAAATCTACATTTAGAACACAAATATCCTAGTTGAATGTAATACACATCAGCGTCAATGAGATTCATCCAAGGGCAGTTTAAGCCATAACGGCTGTATCAGGTCGGCCTTGATCCGGCGCAACTGGTCCTGTGGGGCCAGGTGCACGTAGCCTGTGCATATTTATAACATGTCGTTTCAGTTTGTTCTTGTGTTGCGTACCT